AGAGCCCCGAAGAGACCTGCTTAACACATTACAGTTCTAAGCAATATCTGCTTTCCCCTGCTCCTCAGCTGAAGCTGAGCCAGCCTGGGGACCCTTCCTGCACTCAGGCAGCTTAATTTAAGGGTAATCCATCCATGATTGGAGGTCAGCCCCACAGGGGCATCCCTGGGGTCTCTCGTATCTCACTGACATCCTTGTGTCCGTGCTCCTCTGCTCCCTCTGTGTGTGTGTGTGTGTGTTTGCAGTGAACAGCATCACCTTGGCAGTGAATCTCGTTGGCTGCCTCGCATGGCTCATTGGAGGCGGTGGAGCTGTTAATTTTGGACTGGCAATTCTCTGGCTCATTCTCTTTACGCCCTGCTCCTATGTCTGCTGGTTTAGACCTATTTACAAAGCTTTCAAGTAAGTGGTCACTCCTCAGCCTGGCTTCTCATGGGCTTTTGGGTTTGTTTCCTTTCCCAACTGGTTAGTGCTTCGCTTGGGGCACTGCCTGGAGATCTGGGGGTGTTTCTGCTCTTTCTTGTCCAGCCCTTTAGCTTTACTTTCTAAACCTTCAAAGCCAGGGTGTTTGGGATGCCCTGAGGCCATGCAATATAAAGACACCCTTTGTGTGCCCCCACGAAGTGCTGGGGGAGTGGTGAGGAGGCAGTTGGATGCCAGCTTGCCCTCCCCTCCCATCCTTGAGGCTTCTTTTATAGCTTTCCACAAGTCCTCAAGGTGCTTGTATTGATTATCCCACTGCTGAGATCGATCCCCAGTGCAGTATTCCCAGATCTAGGAGCTGGGGGTGTATTTATTCCCCAGACGGGATGAGTGAGGCTGGTGTGAGCAGAGAGCTGTGTCCGAACACGGATGCCCAGTGGCCTCACGTGCAGAGCTGGCTGAGCCATGGGGAGGGTTGGATGCCCTGTGGCTTTCCCAAGCGTTCCTTCAGCCTCTCTCATTTTCTCCCTTGTCTTTAGTTGTGCTCTGGTGATCTGCTTCTCACCACCCTCTCACTAAACCACAGCACCTTCTGCCCCTAAAGGGTCTGAGACGTGGGAGCATCTCCCTCCCCTTGTGGCGCAGCAGGGATGGAGGTGTAGGGAGTGACTGAGCCTTCTCTTGCAGGACAGACAGTTCCTTCAGCTTCATGGCCTTCTTCTTTACCTTCATGGCCCAGCTGGTGATCAGCATTATCCAGGCGGTGGGAATTCCTGGCTGGGGTGTCTGGTAAGGAAGGTGCTGCTCTTGCTTTGGGTGCAAGGGAGACCTTATAACACTCTTTCAGTACCTAAAGGGGACTACAAGAAACCTGGAGAGGGGCCTGGGACAAGAGCCTGTAGGGACAGGCCAAGGGGAATGGCTTGAACCTGCCCGAGGGGAGACTGAGCTGAGCTCTTAGGCAGAAGCTCTTCCCTGTGAGGGTGCTGAGGCGCTGGCACAGGGTGCCCAGAGAAGCTGTGGCTGCCCCATCCCTGGCAGTGTTCAAGGCCAGGTTGGACACAGGGGCTTGGAGCAAGCTGCTCCAGTGGAAGGGGTCCCTGCCCATGGCAGGGGTTGGAGCTGGGTGAGCTTTAAGGTCCCTTCCAACCCAAACCAGTCTGGGACTCTATAATTGCACTGGTGCTGTGTGCTCCTGGTGTGTTTTCAGCACCCTTGGTCCCCAAGTGGCTTCTCGGGTGGGTGCTGTGAGGAGCAGCAGGGGGATGCTGGCAGCCAGGGAAGCCCACACTGCTGAGCATTCCAGTTGTTTTGCTCTCCTTGCAGTGGCTGGATTGCAGCGATTTCCTTCTTCGGGACCAACGTGGGCTCAGCTGTGGTGATGCTCATCCCCACTGTGCTGTTCACAGGGATGGCCGTCTTCTCCTTCATCGCCCTCACTATGGTACGGAGGTGCTGCAGCACGTCAGGGCTCCCTTGCTGCTCCCCTGGCAGGTCGGGGTGAGCAGCAGTCCCTCAATCCCGGTGGATTCTCTCTTCCCAGGTGCATAAGTTCTACCGGGGGAGCGGCGGGAGCTTCAGCAAAGCCCAGGAGGAGTGGACCACGGGGGCATGGAAGAACCCCCACGTGCAGCAGGCAGCGCAGAACGCGGCCATGGGCGCAGCGCAGGGGGCCATGATGCAGCACGAGACGCAGTACTCGGCCACCCCCAACTACACCTACTCCAACGAGATGTGAGCAGCAGGACTCTGTCCTCAGGCACCAGATCTTGGGGAGAAAGGGAGGAGGAGGAGGAAGGCTGAGCCGGATTCTGCAGCTATTCCAGAAAGCTGGAGTGTACCATAACGGTTCTTTTCCTATTCTTTGTAACGAGATCATTTGGGATTTGTTTTCTTCTTCTTTTTCCTCTCTGTTACTGTCTGGAGCTTTTCTTTTCTCCTTTCCCTTTCATTTTGAAGAGGCTGTGAGCTGACCCGCAGGGCTCTTGGTGTGTGTGTGTGTGTGTGTGGTAGTTACATGTACGTGTCTTCTTTTTCCCTGTGAACTAGTGTATGGTGGTGGTTTTTAATTCCTGTGGTGATAGGTGTACGTTACAACTCCATCAGCCAAAAGCCCCCACTCCCAAAAGGGAAAGATACAAATAGCAACCAGCACCCATTTTCCCTCTTGGAATAAGCCCTGAGCCACAGGTTTCTGATGTGTGAGTTTTCTCTTTGAGTTGGTAGCACCCAGCCACTCACCACTGTCTCAGCAAGGACAAGCCATCCCGGGAATTCACCTTTTTCCCTTGCTTTTTAACCAGGAGGTGGCTGGCTGGGTTAGTATTAACCAAGAAAAAGAGGGGATAAGGCAAAAAAGAATGCCTCCATCCTGTTGGTGATATGCTGGAAGCCAAGAGATTCCTACCCTACACACTGGCTCAGGATCCACAACTTCTCTCCATGTATGCTGGTGTAAATGAGTAGCTTCCATCCAGTATTGGTGTGTGTCCGTGGGCAGGAGCCCCGGTGTGCTGCGTGTGTGTGCATGTGCTGGGGAGTGAGGACAGGTTCTTCCTTGTGGGATACAACCTTTCCATTCCGGATGCTGCATCCTGAGGCTGGTTTGTAAAGGCTTCTTGAAAAGCAGCTATAGAACGGGCAGTGTTTCTCAGAGGAGCTGTTCTTGGGGGAGGCTCTGGGTCACATCAAGCACATACAACTTGTGTACTGTGTAAATAGCGAGGCCAGGATTTGTCCCTCTTAGCTGCTGAGGTGTGCAGGAGCGTAAGGAAACCTCCAGGCTGCTGGAGAAGGATTCCTGCTCACTTGAGCTTCTGGTGTGGAAATCCCTGCTCCTCTCAGCCCTAAATGCATGCCCAGGTAGGGGTTAGTTTGGGCTTTAAATGATGTGGCACCTCAGCAGAGGCAGCTGAGCTCAGACCAACACCTCCTGGGCTGTCAATGGGAGCTGATGGATGCTGCCGGACCAGGAGCAGGGAAAGCTCCTTCTCAGAGATGCTTTTCAGACTCTAAATGCACTTTAAATATGCCAAATTTCTCTCCAAGTCCTAGGAAAGCAGCCCAAACCGAATCCCAAGCCCAGCTCCCTTCTTAAGGATGTCACTTCAGTCACTCTGCAGTGGACAGTCGTCTCCTGATAAGACTAAACTGCAGCTAACAATAAATTGCCTGTCCGTGTGTGTGCGTGTGTATATATGTGTAAAACCTAAGGAGAAAAGTAATCCTTTGCTGAGCCTATTATGTACTTAATCAGGTTTAAATATTGTGCAATTCATTTCTAGCTAGCCGAAAACTGACTATGCCAAACCACGTGCTCTGTCACCCATGTCCGAGAAGTGATGCAATGAAAGTGACTTCACCATTTGCATTGATGATAACTGTACTGAGCTGTAACTAACAGACATTGCTTCAGCACCTAACCCTCCTCTCCGCTCTGTCTCCTCAACCTGCGGCCACCGGTGCTCCAGACCCCTGCACCCTTATTCTTCACCTGGGTTGGGATCACAGCACCGCGGGTGGGAGAGCCGATGTGCGGGTGCTTTGGCAGATGAGGGGTTTCACTGAAGTCTCCCCATTGCTTTCTGCAGAGCTCTCTCTGCCTCTGCCTTCTTCTTGGTGCTTATTTGCAGCTGACAAGTGACAAGTGGACCACCCCAGATGTGCCTGCCCCTGCTTGGCAAGGAATGGGCAGCCCTTTAACGTGCTTCCCCCTGTGTATGTGCCTCCCGCAGGGAAGGGCTCCCATCGCCGGGTGCTGCCCGCTGCTGCTTGCGGGGACCGGGAGCCGCTCATGGCCCCGTGCCCCTCGCTCCACCCTCTCACACGCAATGACCTTCCTGATGTCCTCCGCCACCTCTAACCCTCCTCCTCACGCAGCCTTTGAGGGGCTGCTTGCCGCCTATCCCTGCGCCGCGGGGCGGGCGTTACCGGGCTGCTGTGGGGCACCAGCACCGCGCTGCAAGGCCCAAAGGCCCCTACCGCAGCGGGGCGGACGGAACGGTACCGGCCACCGCCATGACACCGCCTCAGGACCGCCCCCTTCCCCTCACAACCAATCAGGGTTTCCCGGCGTGCCCTTCGGCTTCCGGGGTCTGCCCTCGTTGCCGGGCAACGGCGGGCGGTGCGGCGGAGGCGCGGGGTAGGCCGCTGCCGGTACATAACCGGTGTTTGTCCGTGGGTTAGGACCTAACGGGGTGCCTCGGGTCTGTCCTGTGCCTTAGCCGCCGTTTGAGGCTGTTTGCAGCATCACCGCGGCGTTAAACAGCTCATAGCGTACCTCTGATGGCTCCTTACCGATAGACCGGCGGGCGGGAGGCAGGCCCGGCCTGGCCCGCTCTGGTTTTATCACTAATAGCTCTTATTGTAAGCTGCCTATTAATAAATCACATCTTATTCCCCAGGCTTTAAGGTGTGGGTGCTTCGGTGCATAATTGTCAGTCAGTAATCACACGGGAAGTGGATGTTTTCGTTACTGGGACAGTGTTAACTTGGTTTTAATCAGCCATAGATGAACACATGGAGCAGCACTGGAGTCGCCCTGCCGATGCCCTCGCTGCGGTTCCTCGCCTCTAATTGCTGTTGCTAATCAGTGCCTGGGAGCTCCAGCTGGAGGCCTGCTCTTACCCTGGTAATTCCTTTTATAACCACGCTGAGGAACGTTTAAACTCATTAATTCCAAGTGGAGCATGGAAAAGGAGCGCATGTCAGTGCTGCTGCACTGGGCGGGTGGGTGCCAGGAGGGTGTTTGTGCTTGTCTTGATGCTAGGGGCAGAGGGCTGGGTCCTGAATTGAACCCAGGAGGGGATGGGAGGGTTGGTTTGTGTCACTTGTTTTGGTGATGAAAACAAGGGCAGCACCGATGTCTCTTTATTCCAACCCAAAATGGTTTGTCTGAAGAGCACTCAAATGGACCAAGCGTTACTGAATCCCAGGCTTTGCCAGGAAAGTGCTTTCATCTGTTTCAAGGAGTAAATTTCCTCTCTGCTAATGGCAGAGAGGCAGAGCCCCTTGCATCGGTTCTGCTCAGGAGCACTCCTCCTCACCCGAGCACTCACTGGGGATTTATCAGCGTGGCAGCCCCACATTCTTCATTATTAAAAAGCCTACCTGCACTTGTTGCTCACCAGAGATTGTGAAGGGAGGTTGCCTCTAATGGGAGCTTCTTCCCCCCAAAGCTGCATGTATTAGTAATTCTGAACATGTTCAACACATGAGAGTGCATCTTTTGTTCTGGGAGTTTTCAGAATGCTTTTGAGGTCTGTTGTGTGGGGTTTAGCCTTGTCTTTACTAGTATCTGAGAGACTTAAACAGGAGGAGGAGGAGGCTTCAGCTATGCTTAAAGCTCTGCCAGTGCTTGGAAGCTTTGTGGATGAGGGTCTGAGTGTGCATCTTCAGACTGAGTTACTCCAGGTCTTGGTTAGTCCGCACTTAAGTGCTTGCTAACGGAGCCCTGCTGTGCTTCGTTATCCGTGTCTTTGTTCTCCTGTGCTTGCAGAGTTTGATGGGAACATGGAGCCCTCCTCCGCACCAGACCCAGGGATTCCTGCAGGGAAGAGCTCCTCTATGCCACAGAGAAACTACCGTGTCCTGGTGGGTGTGACTGGGAGTGTGGCTGCCCTCAAGCTGCCCCTTCTCATCGCTGAGTTGCTGAAGATCACTGAGGTGAGTAAAGCTGTTGGCAGGGCATTGTAAAGTTGGTGGTGTCCTGTTTCTGTTCCTGAGGGAGGGGTTGTGTGCCTTCTGATGGAATGGAAAGTTCCTTCTGGCTTGGAGCCCTCTGAAAGTGTGTTGCGGGGGGGGATACCTCCTGGGTTTAAAAATCAATCAATTTCCTCTCATTTCATACTTCTACACTTAGCTTCACATCAGGCTTAAAGAACCGATTCCAGGGTATTTCCATAGGCAAACGTTTGGATTCTGGGCCATGAAAGTGTTATTGTTCAGATCAGCCTAACTCGCTGAAGTGATTGAATAGGTCCTTGCTTTGGTGGGGTTTTTTTGTGGAATATGTCTTTGTCAGCCAAATTATCAGCTCTGGCCACAGCCACAGGTGATAGTTTCTGGAATGGGAAATCTCTGGTTAGGATACTGCAATTTTCTGTAGGTGAGGTGTGGACTTTGCAAAGGTGCTGACCAGCAAAGGGAAACCACATCTTGTGAAGGCAGGAGTAGCAAAGTACTGTATGTGCCCATGCACTTGGTTTTTATTAAGGGTTTATTGTCTGGAGTAACAGAGGTGTCCAGCAGAGGCCAGTAGTGACTGGATTCAGGGAGGCAAACGTGTGAACTTTCGCTGTAGACTGAAGTCAGTGGAAAACAGAAAACCTTTGGCTTTTAAGAAGAGGAGCAAATGGTTTTGGAGCAGTAAAAGAGTGTCAGGAACACAATGGTGCACTTAAATGTGCAGATATTGGTTAGATTGCTCAGTGAATCTCCTTTAGATTGCTATGGGGGGCTTTGCCTTGTAGATACACTATGGCAGAATCAGAAGAGTTGTGATCCTTGAGTAACTGATGCATCTGGTTGGTGTTGGCTTGGAGAGCTGTTGGTGTCCAAGCTTTAAGGGTACTGACGATGCAGGGAGCTTTTGGGCTGGCATGGTGGGTTGGAGAGAGGGGCCTCAGTTAATTTATTACTTGACCTGAAGTGATTAGTGAGGCCAAAGGTTATAGCCTGAAGGGAGAGTGCCACAGAAAGCTGCTCCCAAGGAGCTCCTGGTAGTTCATTGATTAATTTAAATGATATATTTACTCACTTGTGCTGTGATTTCCAGGCCTGACCCAAGGCCTGCTGAGCCACTGGGGCTTTTCCATGCAGTTTGCTCTGTCTTGTACAAGTCAATTTCTTTACTGGTGGAACAGAACTCTAAAAGGAAGCAGGGCAGAAGCAGGGAAAGGCTTTGATACTGAAGGAGATGTGGCTGGAGGCTTGAAACTGGAGTGGTTACTTTAAGTTGCTGTTTTGGCTGGAGTGATCCTTGGTGAACAACTTGGCAGCATGACTCTGCACTCATTAAACTTTCACAGCTCCTTGAGGGTGATAGTGGACGTGACTCCATCTCACTGCCTTTTGTTTAACCTCTCTGAAGAGGGAGGAAGTTCAGGCAGCAGCAGCTTCCAGCTTTCATGTTATTCCCCTTACACCTGGTGTTGTGGGGACACAGCCCAAAGGGTGTCCTCAGGACACTGTGGGTAACTCTTAGGGTCATCCTGCACTCACATGTTGATGATCTCAGGCTGGTGCCTGCAATTTCTGAGCAGCCTGGCAGGGATACAATGGCAAAAATGATGTTGGTTAGTTATAAAGAAAGGCAACAGTAGGAGAAATGTGTTGCTATTGGAGCTACAGGCTCTCATCTAGACCTCGAGGTTTAAACCATTTCATGGTGCTCCTGCCAGGTAACCTCTACACCAGCTTGTAAGTGCCATTTACCAGAGGAGCTCCTCATTCTCTTCAGCAGGTGTTTCTGAAGCTCAGTCTGTAAAGATTTTGCTGTCAAAACTGAGAAGGCTATGAAGGAAAAACCATGCACAGCCCTTTACCCCACCCAGAACCATCTGTGACAGGAGGATCCTCTACCAGCCACCAGCAAAACTGGGGGAGCACAGGAGAGCGCTTTTGCAGTCAGGTTTGTTCTGGAGAATCAGCTTAAGTGCTTCAATGAAATGAACTCTGACCAGGCTGAACTCTCTCCAGTAAAGGAGTTGGAGTGTGGCTAGACTGGCTTTACTGTTTAAGCAGAGATATATCCACAGGCAAACAGAGGGTGTGCCAGGTAAATAGAAGGAAAAAGCTGTTGAGGCTTAAGTTAACTTGAGAACACTGATCTCTTCCCAGCGTAGCTGGAGGGACTTGAAGGTCTTGCTCAGAACAAGGGAACTAGGAGCCCACCCCAGCAGAAAACCTTCATTAGGGAGAATATTTAACTCAGAGAGCAGCTTTCTTGGGAGAATGGTGGAATTGCCACCACGTGAGGCCCTTGAGCATCCCTCTGGTATCCTCTGGCTTGTAGTGGGTTGGATGCTGAACTCCATAGCCCAATTCCCTGTTCCTGGGCTTATGCTTTGAAGACTGCTTTGAAATGATGTTTTTAAGAAAAGCAGAGTGTCTTTGGGGGATTTTTCTGTCCTTTACCCATAGAGGGGTATTTCTGGTCTAGATTTTGTCTAATGACACAACTGAAGTGATAAAATACGTGGTGGGTGGAGTTGTATCACCTGAAACTCCTTCTGTCTCACTGCAAAACAAGACTACCACTACCAAACATTCCTCCTGGCAGCTTTTAGCCCAGACCTGGCCTCCTGGTACCATTTCAGAGAGCTGACATGCCCCTTGAAGCTGCACATTGCTCTTTAAAATCAACAGAGAAATAGCATCACGCAGGCTGTGAGGTTAACACCTCAGCTAGGCATGCAGCCCGGCAGAAAGCAGCGTTAGCACCTCTGTGGGTGTCACTGCTTGGCTCCAAAGAGCGAGCTTCCTGAGAGCTGAGGTTAACATGGAAACCATGCACTTGCTTGCTGTGAATGTGATCTTCACACTCAGAAGCACTACAAGTGCAGCTGTGATTCCAAGTTAGGCTCTCTTGAAGAAGAGCAGACATTTAGAAGAGGCAAAGAACCACATATAGCACCAAATAGCAGTGTTGTGTGCAGCTGTGTTTTCCCATCCTTTTCTCTTCAGGAAGTGGGGAAAATTACTGAGCCTGTGATATGCTAAGGCTGGGATTTTCCAGCTGCTCCCAGCTGCTGTTCCAGTCACATAGGGTGCAGATACCCAACCCTGCTCCATTCCCAGTCAAATAGATAGTGTCGGGGAGATAGGTTAACATGTGTTGTTACTTCAACCACTGCTGCTGAAGATAGCTGATTGGAGGGGTCTGGCCCTGGGTTTTAGCACAAGCGAGCAGGCAGTTGTTCTGCATCAGTTGTTCTCCTCAGGCCACAGGGTTTTAGTGGGAAGGAGTTCTGGTGAGGCTGGTGTCTCCCCATCTCTCTGCTGGGCCAATAGAACCACGTTGCACTGTGAACAGCTTGAGGGAGCAGAGTGGTTGAAAGTGGCTGATAACAAGGAAAAGTGTTCTTTCTCACTGTTATCTGTGGCATCTTCCACATTACCAGTCTTTTCAGAGCTCTCCCTCCATATGTTGGCCTGTCTCTTGTTTGAAGGGGTACCCCTGGAGGAATTGCAGGTGGATGTACAGTTGCATGTCCTGCTGTGTGCAGGGCAGCTCCAGTGGGCTGCGTGGGGCAGGCAGCTGGCTGTGGCATTTGACTGTGACATTTACCAGGGTGACAGCTTTGAGAAGGTCATGGGGCACATAGAAATTGGGAAAACCCCCCTTTTTCCTCTTGTTGAGATTTTTACAGGAGGAAATGAAAGGATCTCATGTCATAGGGCACCTTGGCACCTCCTAAGTGTGTGTCAATTGAACTCCAAGGGATGTGATAGAGTTTCCCAGCCTGGTTTGGGTTGGAAGGGACCTTAAAGCTCATTCAGTTCCAACTCTGTGCCCTTGTCTTGCAGCAAGAGCAAAGGTCCATGAACAGACCGTAGAATCCCAGACTGGTTTGGGTTGAAGGGACCTTAAAGCTCACCCAGTTCCAACCCCTGCCATGGGCAGGGACCCCTTCCACTGGAGCAGCTTGCTCCAAGCCCCTGTGTCCAACCTGGCCTTAAACACTGCCAGGGATGGGGCAGCCACAGCTTCTCTGGGCACCCTGTGCCAGCGCCTCAGCACCCTCACAGGGAAGAGCTTCTGCCTAAGAGCTCAGCTCAGTCTCCCCTCGGGCAGGTTCAAGCCATTCCCCTTGGCCTGTCCCTACAGGCCCTTGTCCCAAGCCCCTCTCCAGGTCTCCTGCAGCTCCTTTCGGCACTGGAGCTGCTCTAAGGTCTCCCCTTCAGGAGCCTTCTCTTCTCCAGGCTGCCCCAGCCCAGCTCTCTCAGCCTGGCTCCAGAGCAGAGCTGCTCCAGCCCTGCAGCATCTCCGTGGCCTCCTCTGGCCTCGCTCCAACAGCTTCACATTGAGCTTCTCATCGACCAACATTCCCAGGATATACCATATAACTGAAGGTTCCACTGGCTTTCAGCAAGGCAGGCAGGTTTATCCCGGGTTTCAGAGAAAACCTTCACACATTTTCACCCTTGTCTTTGTGGAATTCACTACTTTACTGGTTTGGCTGCACAGAAACCATGTGCTGTGAACATACCTATGGAGTTTCTCCTTTTTTCCAGCATCTTGTCTTGATGGGGGGATAGAAAAGCTGGAAAACACCCCTCTGACTCATTTGTGGTATTTTAATCCCTGGCTGGAGCAAGTCTAACTAACCTGGTTTTAAAAGGCAGGATCCAGTGGTCTGTAGCTATCTCCTCACCTCTGGCACCAGGAGATCATCACGAGAGGGACAGAAAGTCCATGCAACCAAGAAGTGCTCCTCTGTCTTCCAAAGCCCCTCTTCCTTGTGAAGCCTTGCATGGCATCAGTGGGTTTGCTTTTGGTGCTGGTGCTGAGCTCCACTCACCTTGTCCCTCAGCAGTTCTTTCGATCACTCAGCACTGTGCTTGCTCTTGGCTCCTAGTGTGGAAAGATGCAAGTGCCCTGTAGGTAATGCCACCCCTTGGCAGTCCTGTGTGCTGTGGCTATGGATCCCACTGAGGTGAGATGCTCTCCTTCTCCCTTTGGCAGGCATGTTGGAGAGATTAAAGGGCGTTTTCCCCTGAGTTTTGGTTTGCTGCTTCTTGCTGCCTCTTCGAAGTTCTGTGCAGAGTGCACCTCATTCAGACCTGCTCTGGCCTCTCTGCTGTCCCTGCTGGGAACTGGGCATGTGAACACGGGAACTGGCTCCACATGAGCTGGCCTGCCCGTTTTAGGGTGCTTTAAAATGAGTCTTTGGCTCCCAGAAATACCTGTGGTGGCCTTTCAGCTGTGAACAGGGGAAGCTCCCCTGAGAAACTGCTCTGTGGCTTGAGCCCAGCTTGACAGGGTTGTTCTGAAGTCTAACCACTGGTCTGTCTGTCTCTCTTTTCTGATCAGCTGGAAGTGAAGGTGGTCACCACTGAGAGAGCAAAGCATTTCTACAATGTCCAGGAGATTCCTGTCACCCTCTACAGTGATGAAGATGAATGGCAGGTGAGTTGTGCTTCCATGGGAGAATGAAAAGGCTTCTGTCCCATCCCCAGAGGCCGCAGGTTTCGTAATTCAAGTAGCTTTGTCATGCGTTCATGCCTTCTGCTTCCAGAGGGCCAGTGGGTCATGTTTCAGGGAAAAAGCAGGCTCCTGGGAGATTCACTTGTTCAAGTGTTGAACAGCAAACAGAAGTGCTTCACTGCAGGAGACCACATCTGTTTGTGCTTTAATCCTGGGCCAAGACTTGTTTCTTTGGAGCACTGTGTGCAGTTCTGGTGTCAGCAGCATAAGAAGGACATGGAGCTGTTGGAGCAAGTCCAGAGGAGGCCACGAGGATGATCAGGGGCTGGAGCAGCTCCTGTATGGAGACAGCTGAGACCATTGGGGCTGTTCAGCCTGGAGAAGAGAAGCTGCGTGGAGACCTCAGAGCAGCTTCCAGTGTCTGAAGGGGGCTACAGGGATGCTGGAGAGGGACTCTTCATCAGGGACTGTAGCGATAGGACAAGGGCTGATGGGTTCACACTGAAACAGGGGAAGGTCAGGTTAGATCTAAGTCAGAAGCTCTTCCCTGTGAGGGTGCTGAGGCGCTGGCACAGGGTGCCCAGAGAAGCTGTGGCTGCCCCATCCCTGGCAGTGTTCAAGGCCAGGTTGGACACAGAGGCTTGGAGCAAGCTGCTCCAGTGGAAGGGGTCCCTGCCTGTGGCAGGGGTTGGAACTGGATGAGCTTTAAGGTCCCTTCCAACACAAACCATTCCATGGTTCTAGTCATGTATGCTTCGGAGTCTGGCTTTCCAAGAACGTGGTTCCAACCACACTGTCAATGAGGAAGCCCAGGCTGCCCTGGCAGGGCTGCAGCAGGCAGTGAGGGTGGCAGTGGTCTCTCAGCCACTATCCCCAGCTCTAAGAGGAATCTCAGGAAGTGTCAAGAAAGCCACTGCAGAGTCGTGGTGAGGGTGTTTGGGGCTTGTCATGAGTCACAGTTGTCACAAAAGCAAGAGCTTAATTCTTAGCACTAAGTATTGTGGCTCTATGGACATCAGTGGTGGTCTCCATCTGCCCACACTGCTTTGAAACGGCCTGGTGTGGGGCTGGGGAGCTGCCTGCTGGCAGGGAGGAGCAGACCAGCTCCTGGAGGTGCCATGCACTGGTGGGAGAGGTGGCTGAAGGTCAGAGAGGTTCTCCTCCCTGCTGGAAGCACTGTTTGTCTTAGAAGTCTATGCTCTGTGCTCATGAGCATACACAGAAGAGCAATTCCAGCAAAGAATGGCTCAGTTGCCAGGGCTGTGGACATCTGTAGACCCTGTAAAATGGCTTTTTCTTTTCACTACAGCTTTGCTGACATGCTTTGAGAGCTCCTGTGTGTGTGCAGGCCCACTGTATAAACATCAGCATTTGTTTTTTCATATATTGTATATATTATATATATATATATATAGGTGGCAGTCCTGATCCAAGTACAAGGGGGAGCTGGAAACGGTGTCAGGAAGCAGCAGCCTTCTGGAGGCTGGCTTTTTCTTATGATTTCCAGTGACTTTAGAGAAGGAACAGCTTGTGGCCCTGATGCACCTCTTCTGGCCTGTGGCTGTGTATGTCCTCTGGGGATTCAGCGCCTGTTGCTGCGTCTGTTGATGCTTTCCCACATAAGTTCCCAGTTAACTGTGCTCTTAAGAAGAGACCAGGACTCTCTTGAGCAGCTCAGCTCTAGAGTTTAGAGCCAGTTGAGGCGGGAAGTGCCCTGTTGGCCAAACCTTATCCATCCTGAAGAAAGCCAACAGGACTGCTTGCTGATGTACTTACGAGGATGCTGCTGTGAGTATGCGTCCTAACTGAAAGGGACTTGTGGAATTAGGGATCTAGACCTCATAAAAACCAGTGGACAGCTTCACTTCAAAGAATCATGGAGCTTATAAACCACAAGGATTCCTCAGGGAATGTGCCCCCAGTTTGGTCCTGCCTGGCTTCAGCTGCTGACAGGATGGAGCTCTTCCTTCCACTCGGGTATGCTACAAGTTGAGGGGGCTTTTGCAAACAAGAGTGAAGCTGAGGGATGATGTGAGTGGGAAGTGGATGGGTAAAGCTCTTTCCTGCGAGTTGAAATCTGGGGTTGTCTCATGTGTGTCCTTGTAGGGGAAAGACACCAGTTTGTAGAGCTCCAAGCCCAGCAGTGCTGTCCCTTATCTGTGATCCCTGAATGTAGCTGCAACATGGCCTTCAAACAAGTGGGCACTGGGTCCCTGGTTCTCCACACTCTCAGGTCTCAGTGTGAGAGTAGGTTTACATGGTGGTTACTATGGGATTGCTCAAGTGAGGGCTCCCTAACCTGCACCTTGTCTGCTCCCCAGCTGTGGAAGGAGCGCTCAGACCCAGTGCTGCACATCGAGCTCAGGCGCTGGGCTGACCTGATGGTGGTGGCACCTCTGGATGCAAACACGCTGGCAAAGCTTGCCAATGGCATCTGTGACAACCTGCTGGTGAGTAACAGCGAGTTCTCTCACCTCCCAGTGTTAGACTGCCTGACCTTTCTTTTCATGGAAACTTGTGCTTCTGCAGCAGCGAGATCAGCCACATTTGCATGTTCTGCTCCCACTTCATCTGCTTGTCTCGCTCTTCCTCCACTATGGCTCCTTCTCAGACAGTCAGTCCTCCCTTCCCTTCTCTGCATCCCTTTCCAATCCTCACCTCTGTCTCTCTTCCATCAGTTCCCACTCCCTGCTTTGTGCCTTTCCTGCTTTCGCTTTCATTTATTGCTCTTCCTACCCCCACCCTCTCTCTGCCATGCCTGTGCACACACGCACTTGTGCTCCCTTTTGGGTTCCTCTCTGTATTTCTTAGATGTGATCTGAAAAGACACCTGTGAGATCTGATAAAACTGTTGGCTTCCTGCTCCCTCACCTCCTCCCTCACCTAACTGCAGAGCACACCAAGTCAAACACACGCTCACTCACCTTCCACTCGCAGCTAGAGAGCATTTTGCTTGTTCAGGCTTGTTCTTTCTGATATCAGAAGTGCTTAAAGGCTGATCAGAAAGTGCATTAAAAGGGACTGTGGGCCTCTGATGGCTGATAGGGACCTTCATCAGGGCTGAATGCTCTGTGTCTAGGCATTAAGTCTTCGTTAGGAGAGGTCATAAGCATTAACCACCATAAAGGTGTGCCAGGAAGCTGCAGGTGTTGCTGTGGTGCATAACCCAGCGGTAATGCGTGGTTAGAACTAGGAATGGAGGGCAGTGCATCACATCCAGGGAGCCCTGTGTGACTCACTTAGCTCTCCAGGTAAAAGGAAGTGCATGTAAATGCAGAGCAACAGCCCTGATCTGTATGAGTAGAAGGTCTGGGAGAAGCCAGGAGGAGCTGTGGGACGGACAAGCAATACCTTGTCCTTTTGGGTCCCCTTGGTACTACAGATGCCATTGTGATAGGAGAGGGAAGAGCTCAGGACGGGTGTTAGGGATACATGGTTGCCCAGACTCCTGCCAGTGTTTTCAGAGAGCCTTGTGGAGGGAAGAGGAAGCTCCTGCAAGTGCTGGAGGTGCTGGGTGGCAAGTTAGAACAGATGCTGGCAGAATTCCCTGTGCTGGGAAAGGTTCAAATCACAGGACACAAGAAAGGGTGGGCAGAGTTCTCCCAGGTACTCTGTGATGTGAGCAGAGACCCTGCGCCAGGGATTGTTGCTACCTGGGAAGCTCCTTTTGCAGGATTTAAATGCCTCTAGGCCTAGAGAAGCTGATGGACATTGCAGTACAAGCAACCAGCATTCATCTTTACAGGGTGATGCTGGGTTATCTGGGAGCTCTGTATTACAGAGGAGTCAGCTATGACTCCCTGTAGCATACAGGACCTGCCAGCCACTGCTGCCGCAGCCCATGTGTGTTCTGGTATCCTCTGTACCCTGGAAGCAGCAGTGCTTCCCTTGGGAGGAGTTACACATCCAGCTGGCATAGCTTTGCCAACGTGCTGTGTTTGGCTCCACAGCTCAGGTGTTGCCTGGGGATCTCTCTCAGGTGTTGCCTGTGGCCACCCTTCAGCTCCCCTCAGTCCTCCAAATGGGCTGGCAACCTGCACACATCGTGTGCCAGCTTGCTTTGCTCCAGCCATTGGGCTGTTTGCAGGATGGGATCTATCCTCTTTGAAGCCTCCCTTATCTTTCCTGCCTGTCAGAGCTGAGCTCTGCTGGAATGTGGTACAAATGAGCATCAGCCCCATGCATCTGCCTGTGCGTTACTCCGTCTGCACTGACAGATTGAGGCTTTTGGTCCTCTCATGACACTCAGGCTGGGAAAGCACTTCTGTGCTGCCAAGTGATGGGGGGGGAATGGGAAAATCCAACCCATCCAGAACTGACCCTCTTGGCTTCTCTTGCAGACCTGTGTGATCCGGGCCTGGGATCTGAGCAAACCTCTGCTCTTCTGCCCAGCAATGAACACAGCCATGTGGGAGCATCCCATCACAGCACAGCATGTGGAGCAGCTGAAAGGCTTTGGCTACACAGAGATCCCCTGCGTGGTGAAGAAACTAGTGTGTGGAGATGAAGGTCAGTCCCTTTGCCAGCTTTCTGGCTCTTTCTTCCCTGCACAAATGCATTCTTTTGTCGTGTGGTGCTCCCCATGTTGAACTGCAAGGAGCAGATGCTCACTGCTGGGGTTGACACAAACAAACTGAACCTTTCCCCTGTGCTGCCTGGTATCTATTATCCTCATTCATTAAATTTTAAGTAGTCTTAAGAGGTCATCCAAGCCAGGCTTTCAAATGAGCTGTGAGATAGGCCTGAGATTCCAAAGAAACACTCATTCAAGTAGAGAGGAGATGGAAGAGAAGGAAGGCTTTGTGGTGAGTGTTGTCAGCTTGGGATTTCGGTGTCCTGACCTCTAATGTGATTACAACAAGCACTTTGCAGTCCTGGCCGAGGGTGTAGCTGGATGCACATGTAACATCTGTTGGTGTTTGTTGCCTGGGTTATTCTTCAGCTTCCCAGATGAGCTTTGATTTGGGGTTTTGACTTCAGATTTGTCTGTGTAGTGAAAGAGGGTGGGGAGGGAGTGTTGTCACACCCGCTTTCAAAAGGCTTCACTCGCAGTGCTAAGAAATACCACTGAAATGATCTCATCTGTTTTAGAAGCTGCTTTAACTGGAGGTATTTTGACTTTGGGGAGGTTTTGAGGAGGGGTTTTTATGCAAGCAATTTGGCCAGATTGGAAAATATCACCCAGTTCTAGCCCATAAAAGCAAATATGCTCTTACCTGCACAGTAATGGACTCATACTTTCGTTTAACAACCCCAACTCATGCAGGATTCTAACAGGTCTGTTGAATAAACAGGCTGTAGCAGAGACAGGGTGTTAAAATGCTCTTCACAGTTCAACCCTAGGCCTGGCTTTAGTTCCTGAACTCTTTAAGTGGTTGCAATGCTTCTAGAGGGTGGTTTTGGGGCAGGAGACTAAGAAATAGTTACACTGGGGTGAGTGTAGTCAAGTAACTCAGGAACCATTGAAATACCCTGGACATTTATGCTTCTGTTGGAGTTTTAGCCCTGATGCCATCAAATTCCTGACATACTTGTAATGATGTTAAGGGAAACTGCCCAAAAGAGGTCATCCTGTGCAGATGTTTTGGCAGAAGCAGGAAGAGCATCTGGCATCACTTCTTTGTCCTTTCTTTCTTCCCTTCATCCTTTTCAGTACATATGTAGGATCTCCATCCCCATAGCAAGCAGCTGAGTGCCTCCTCACAGGTCCTGTGCTGCTGCTTGCAGGTTCCTGCACCTGAGACAGAGCTATGGTGTTAGGTCTGTACTCCACAGATGAAACGGGTACAGTTTTGCATCCCTGAGCCTCCACTTGTGTTTGTGAGTCAATTCCCAGCAAGGTTTTCCTGTAGGCAGGATTTTCCTGTAGGAAAATGCTGGTGAAGCAGTTGTTGTCCTGGTTTAAGCCCAGCCAGCAGCTCAGCCCCATGCAGGCACTCACTTCCTTCCCCTCAGTGTGATGGGGGGAGACATTCAGGAGGGTAAAAGGGAGAAAACTTGAGAGAAAGCCAGTTTAATAATGGAAATAAAAGAATAAACTGTGATGAAAAGGAAAATAAGAGAGAAATAAACCCCAGAAAGCCAAGTGATGCAAGTGAAATCGCTTACAAGTGATGTCATATGGCATATGGAATAGCTCTTGGGTCAGCTGTCCGGCCATGTCCCCTCCCAAGTCCTTGTGCCTCCTCCCTGGTGGGGTGGGGTGAGGACCAGCAAAGGCCTTGACTATGTAAGTGCTGCTCAGCAAGAAGGAAAACATCCCAGTGTTCCTAATGCTATTTCCAGCTCAAATCCAACCAACAGCCCCATTGGAGCTAATCTGAAACAACTGAACTCCATCCAGCACAGCAGTGATGGACTTCAGGTCTCTTTAAGACCCGAGATACTTTCCACCACGGCCTTTATCCTCTCATCCCCTCTGTTTCAGGCCTTTCACCCCAAAGCCTGTTCCTCTCCAGTAACTGAATGTGGGTTTCATCCATAAAGCTTCCACCCGAGCAGCAGGTAGCAAAGCTCACACAGCTGCTGCAGAAGGAAGGAGATTCAGTTTGCCCCAGTTTTGTCTGTTGACACTGTGGTTTGGCTTGCTGCAGAAGAGGATTAGGTCCTCACTCATGTGGCTGGTCTCACCTGAAGTGGGCCGGATACTAAAAGAGTTCAAATCATCAGTTAAATTGAGTTGACAACTAAACTGTTTCCTTGGCTGGGTAGTTAAATGCTATCTTTATATCACGATATAAAGGCAGCTCTGGGAGGTGCCATCCCACCCGTGGGCCTGCAGCGATTTCCCTTTGCAAAAGCATTGCCAGACTGCTGGGATCTTCCTCATTCTTGGCTGCATTTCTAGAGCCAGACACACTGGAAGGTTTTGACCTGTAGGCATGAGCTGTGCTGCAAGACAGGCTCTGCTCAACCTAAGAATCCAGCTGGGAATTGCCCAAGTTATTGAGCAAGTGGGTGGTGGAGGACAAAGGCAGGTCTTGGAGGTGTTCTCAGCTGTGCAGAGGCAGGCAGGGAATGTCTTGTGTTTAGCAGGACCTGGCAACTGCAGCTCCTCTCCTTGAGGTGAGGAGATCAGGAGGGCCCACATCTGCCTGCAGCTTGTCCACAGGATGCTCCAGACCTCCTGGGATGGGCAGGTCTGAAAGGCATTCACAGGCTTATATTGCAGGGAAACCCAGTTTTCTTCTCCTTCCAGAAATACTATTCTTCACCACAAATGCTCAGCACAAGGGGTGATGGGTTCAAACTTGAAACAGGGGAAGTTCAGGTTGGATATAAGGAGTGTGAAGGTGCTGAGGCACTGGCACAGGGTGCCCAGAGAAGCTGTGGCTGCCCCATCCCTGGCAGTGTTCAAGGCCAGGTTGGACACAGGGGATTGGAGCAAGCTGCTCTAGGGGAAGGTGTCCATGGCAGGGATTTGGAACTGGATGAGCTTTAAGGTCCCTTCTAACCCAAACCAGTCTGGGTTCTGTATCCAACTACACCTTCCGTTCCAGACAAGGCTCAGGTGAGAAACTGACTTCTGATGCCCAGTAAAGCACGTATTTCCTGTGTTTAGAGCCAGCAGGACAGAAGATCAATAGAGATCCATCTCTTCAATCTTCCAATGGAGACAGATGCTGGTGGGAGAAGTATGCTTCCTCAGCCCCAGGGGAATTGCAGGAGTGAATGGACTGAGCGCTGAGTTCAGTACAGAGGCTTGGACAACATGATTTAATGCTCTCTGGCCTTAAACTTCTAAACCTAAGTTTAAAAGACATTCAGATGTTCATCTGGCAGCAAACCAGTCCATTTCCCCCCACATTAGAGAAAGCTGTCCTGGATCTGCACCAGCTTGAATCCTGGGAGTAATGCTTGGAGATGACCGAGTGCTGCACAGAACAAAATGTAAAAGCTTTTCCTTCTGGACTGGGTTGGTGCCAGATGAGCATCTGAAAGTCTGCTTTTCCTAGGCAAAGGCTGTTTCAGAGAGCTCCTGAGCATGCACACACAGTTCATTGTGGAGAAGGGAGGTGGAACAGGGGGTTTGCTATTTTTGGGGTGCTTTTGCACATTTGCCCCCAGGGTGGTGTGAGCTGAGATTGTAACTCCCTGTGCAGTTAAGGGTTAGATACAGGCTCCTCTGGGGATGATGGGAACACGAGGTACTTCGGAAGGTCATCTGAGTTGCCTGTGGAGGTTTCCTGCCTCTCTCCATTGACTGCAGAGCTTGTGCTTCTGCCTGGACTTGTGAGCTATGAACCAAATATGTAAGACTCTTCTCACTCTCCTCCCCTGCTGATGCCCACCCGTGCCACAGAACCCCTGCAGAACCAGGACTGAGCAGATGCTCTGGCTTCCATTGGTCCTTTCTCTTGGGTCATAAGGAAACAATGTGGGGATGCCTGGTGAGCTCTGCTGACCTGTGCCACTGTGGTGCAGCTCATGTTCTGCAGTCATGCAGTGCGTGGAGCAGAGAGGTGGTGGGACAGGGGAAGCACATGCCTCGTGTCTCTGTGGGACCTGGATTTCACAGAATCCCAGCCTGGTTTGGGTTGGAGGGACCTTAAAGCTCCTCCAGCTCCAACACCTGCCACAGGCAGGGACCCCTTCCCCTAGAGCAGCTTGCTCCAAGCCCCTGTGTCCAACCTGGCCTTGAACACTGCCAGGGATGGGGCAGCCACAGCTTCTCTGGGCACCCTGTGCCAGCGCCTCAGCACCCTCACAGGGAAGAGCTTCTGCCTAAGAGCTCAGCTCAGTCTCCCCTCGGGCAGGTTCAAGCCATTCCCCTTGGCCTGTCCCTACAGGCCCTTGTCCCAAGCCCCTCTCCAGGTTTCCTGCAGCCCCTTTAGGCACTGGAGCTGCTCTAAGGTCTCCCCTTCAGGAGCCTTCTCTTCTCCAGGCTGCCCCAGCCCAGCTCTCTCAGCCTGGCTCCAGAGCAGAGCTGCTCCAGCCCTCACAGCATCTCCATGGCCTCCTCTGGCCTTGCTCCAACAGCTCCAGGTCCCTCTTGTGTTGGGATTTCACTGTGTGTGCTTTGCTGTTCCCCTGCAGGTCGCGGTGCCATGGCAGAGGTGTGCACCATTGTGGAGAGCGTGAAGAGGATCCTGGAAGAGCGGGGCTTGCCAGCACAGAGCTGATGTTTGGCACATTCATTGTGTTTGGTGCCTCCCTGATGATTTGAAGATAAAACCAAGTGCTCTGCAACCGAAGGAGTGAAACGGTTGCTTCCAGCTGGTGCCAGCCTCCAATGTGGTTGGTTCAGTGCTGCCGACTCTCAGAAACCGAAGCCAAGGCCATGCTGCTTTAGTGTGGGAAAGCCCTGTGGTATCTCACAGAGATGGAACAACGTTCTGCCCGGCCACTCTCCTGGTGGAGGCTGCAGGAGGAATTGCTGTTGTATTTCAGTGGTTCCCCCAGGAGCTGCCGGAGAGGAAAGTGCAGTGCAAGCCCTGGCCGTGGGGGCAGTGCTGGCCCCTGCATGGGGATATCCCTGCTCTCCAAAGCCTGGGTTGTAGTTGTGTTGGCTTCACCTTTCCAGCAGGAGTCACTGTCCCAAAGGCCTTTCATAGGCTCGTAGAATCACAGAAAGGTTTGGGTTGGAAAGGACCTTAAAACCGTCCCGCTCCAACCCCCCTTTTAGGACTTAATAAATGAGAGCTTTTCATTCTGCCCCTGGGGAATTGCCTCTTGTAGCTGCTCTGGGGGATGTTTGCACCTCACGTCATTGCTAAACTGTTGTGTCTGCTTGTGGTTCTTATCAGAGATGGGAAAAGTAGGCAGAAAGGAGGTTTTTAGTCCTCAAATCAGCTTCTGCTCTATCATCTCTGTTGTGTGGATGGGGCTGCAGACATCAACTGTGTACCAAAATGCCCATCTGAGTGCTCCAGTCAGGGAATGAACAGCCTGAGCCCTTGTGGAAAGCCAGGCTGGGTGTATCCCAAGGGAGTGAAGTCAAATGTTGCCTATGGTGATCCTTTTCAGCTTGAAAATTAACTGACTGGCATGAAAGCGACTGGGGACTCCTGTGACCCCATGGGCCAGAGCAGCCCCATCCAGCTTTCCTTTGGCAATGGGCAGGAATGGGAGCAGACTGGTGCTGTGGAGCACGTTGCTGTAGCAGAGCACTGACCCAGAGAGTTCATTTTTAACCAGTCCCAGGCAAATTTAAGGCCTTCGGTACAGAACGTGCATCCTGCCTGTGGGGGCAACCTTCAGCCTGCTGCGCACCAGGGAGGAGCTTCTCAGGGCATGTTTGCTTTCCTTATCTATCCCACACAAATAGGGCTTTGGCTCATCCACTGAACGATCCAGAGCTTCTGGGGACTGAGACAGAGGGATCTTGGTTGGCTCTTCCAGCCTCCAAAGAGCAGAGGTTGTGGCTTTCACAAAGGGCCATAGTGGTAGCACGGTTGGGAACGTTGCTTTTGTGGTGTGACCTGCATCGTGTGCTGACGTCCTTGGCCCTGTGAGAGCTATCCTCCCTGTCAGAGCAGCTTACTTGCTGCTTATCGGAGGTAGTGGGAGTGATGCTGCTTGGTTTCCATGGGGTTTGTAGTGAACTTTGTTTCACCTACTCAGAGATATGCATGTTCTGGCAGTTGCAGCCCTAGCTTGACCTTGGGGCTAGGCTCTGCTGGGGCTGCCTTGTGTGACTGGAGTTGCTTATCCTTCCTGCTAGTCTGCTCAGGATCCAGCAGTCCTGTTCCTCAGACTGACTCCAAACACCGTGTCCTTGGCAAGAGTCTTTATCTCCTGCACGTCTGGGTCACAGGCTGGAGGCAGCAGACGTTGGCAGGTATCAGCTGGAGGGTGGCCAAGAAGGTGCCCAACGTGCCCTGCAGTGTTCGAGCTCTGATAACTCAGCAGGAAAGGGGAACATTGTGGGTTTAGATCCAGGGCTGGGGAGCCTGGTCCCCCCCAGAGCTGACACCAGGCTGAGCTGTCAGACACAAAGGCACTGCTAAGGCTATGAGGTTGCCTCTCAAGCTTGTCCAGAGGCTGAAATTAAGGCTTGTAAAGCACTCCCAGGTCCTTGAATAGAGGAAGCTGATTCATTGTGCTGCTGAGTGATCCTTTGCATAACTGCTGTGATATGCATTGGAGGCAGGTCGAGATAACACTGGGATAAAGCCATCCCTGAACCACCTTCCCTTCAGGGCAAAGAGAAGCAGCAGTTGGTTCCTTTTCGGAAGGGCTAAAGCAAGGGCAGCTTCAACCAGAGCACACACCTGCACCCAGGACACTGCTGCCTGCAGGAAAGCCCTGTCCCACTTGTTTGGCTTTGGGATGAGCCTTTCAGGATGAAGGCTGGGGCAATGGGTGAAGGACCTGCTTCAAAACCAGGGCTTGGTAAATGCCTTAGTGCCACCAGACCAGGACAGCCAGGTCACCAAGAGGTGCTGGGTGATGAGTTCCTTGGGGCAGACCCGCTGACATCTCCATCCCTTGTGTCTTTGTGTGTTTCAGGTTCATGGGAGGGGGGCAGAAGATGCTGCATTGGTGCTTTTGCTTTTCCTTCAGCTCTTTCTAAGCCACGCACACGCTGATCTTTCATTTTGCTTTCCCGTGAAGCTCTCTGAAGAGCGAGGCAGCATCCACATGAAAGAGGCTGCCTTGCAATTGCTTTCATGCTGCTCAGAACTGTTCCTTTCAGCGCTGGCAAAGGAGCGATAAAGGGCTGGGAGCAAAGCGGAGCTCAGGCAGCAGCCCTCCTCCTCCCTGCGCTTAGATCTGGGCTCCAATGTGACTCAGAGCATCCATTTCTTATCCCAGACGTGATGGGATGCTGTGGGGCTGGTTTGCATCTGGATGGCTCTGAATGTACTACTTTGCTTAAGAGTTGGTTCCCCAGGTGTCAGATCCCTCTGCTGTCAGTTGTGACAGAAGGGGCATCATCCTCTGCCCTTGTCCTGCAGCAAGAGCAAAGGTCAGTGAACAGACCATAGAATCCCAGACTGGTTTGGGTGGAAGGGACCTTAAAGCTCACCCAGCTCCAACCCCTTCCACTGGAGCAGCTTGCTCCAAGCCCCTGTGTCCAACCTGGCCTTGAGCACTGCCAGGGATGGGGCAGCCACAGCTTCTCTGGGCACCCTGTGCCAGCGCCTCAGCACCCTCACAGGGAAGAGCTTCTGCCTAAGAGCTCAGCTCAGTCTCCCCTCGGGCAGGTTCAAGCCATTCCCCTTGGCCTGTCCCTACAGGCCCTTGTCCCAAGCCCCTCTCCAGGTTTCCTGCAGCCCCTTTAGGCACTGGAGCTGCTCTAAGGTCTCCCCTTCAGGAGCCTTCTCTTCTCCAGGCTGCCCCAGCCCAGCTCTCTCAGCCTGGCTCCAGAGCAGAGCTGCTCCAGCCCTCGCAGCATCTCCATGGCCTCCTCTGGCCTCGCTCCAACAGCTCCAGGTCCCTCTTGTGCTGCTGCCCCAGAGCTGGATCAGGGCTGCAGGGGGGGTCTCCCCAGAGCACAGCAGAGGGGCAGGATCCCCTCCCTGAGCTGCTGCTCACGCTCTGGGGGTGCAGCCCAGCACATGGGGGGGTTCTGGGCTCAAGCGCTCACTGAGGCTGGGTCATGCTGGGCTTCACCATCCCCAGTGCCCAGCCCTGCTTGGTGCTGCAGCTCTGCAGCAGCTCTGGATCTGACACCAGCAGCACCAGCACCAGCAGCACCAGCAGCACCAGCTGGGTTCACACCTCCCGCTGGGCTGCGCTGCCAAGCTACCCGGTGGCAGGAAGCGGGTTTGTGCTTAGCAGTGCCAGGGGCTGGGGGTGCCGAGGCAGTGGTGGCACATGAGAGCACCGGGGGCTCCTGAGCCCCCATGGAGCCATGGGCAGGTCTGGAAAGGGCCCTGGAGCAGGGGTAGGAAGCATCAATCCATTGGTGAAATTCCATGGTAAATGTGATGGTGACTTAACACAATCCCATGGCAAAGTGCACCTGGTTGATTGCTGTGTAGGGGATGGGGTCAGACAGACCCACTGAGTCCCAGTTCAAGGAGGACCCCTTGCTTCCGAAATTCCTCAAAGAGGTGTTTAGATGGAGCTGGATCCACTCCTAATCCCAGACTTTATCAATGGTTCATGTCTGAAGGAATAGATACATATGCCAACCAATCCTTTGGCATGCATTGGACAGGATTTCAGGGCTGAGTGTGTTAGTCACTGTCACAGAGGCCCCAGAATGAGTTTATTCTCATCAAAACTCATTGAATACTCTGGCAACAAGAATCTACAGCCGGCTGTAGGGGCCAGGAGGAGCCCAACACTATGGGGCTGACTCCGGGGTTGAAAGGGAACTGAATGGGTTTCACTCACCAGTTGGGCTCTCAGCCTTGAGGAGGCCCAACCCAAGGGGAGAGCCCTCGTCGTTTGTACCCCAGCCGAATCTGTTCTGGGGTCACAAATACAGCCCGAGGGCTCTTTGCTCTCGACCAAGGTGTGGGTCCAGCCGTGGGCCGTTGTTGCTGTGACCAAAACCAGCAGGTTTGTGTGGAATCCTGGCCTGGGTTGGGTTGAAGGGAGCTTAAAGCTCATCCATTCCCAACCCCTGCCACGGGCAGGGACCCCTTCCACTGGAGCAGCTTGCTCCAAGCCCCTGTGTCCAACCTGGCCTTGAGCACTGCCAGGGATGCGGTTACTGGAGCCAGACCCAAGTCAGTGGACACCCCATGTGTTTCTGTACTTCATGGACCAGAGCCAGCAGATGGGTTTATTGGCAGGTGCTGCTGCTCAGCGGCGCGTCCATGGATGCAGGAGGTGGTCCCTCGACCTCGGGCTCCGTCCAAAGCCACCCCATCACCCTGTGGCCAGGCCAGGGAGGTGAGGTGGAGCACGGGACAGAGGAGAAGTCAATGTGAAAGCAATGGATGTGCTTTGCTGCCACTTGCATCCGTTTCATCCCTTGGGAGAGGTTACCACGAGAAGGCCAGTGCCAAAGGCCCTGGCACAGACTCCTTGGCACCCACTACAGCAATAGCTTGGCTTCAGTGGTGACAGCCTTGCTGTTAGAGCTTGCAGATACAAAGCCTCGCCGCAGAGTTTGTTTCCAGGAGTAATTGAGCTTCATTGGGAGCTTGAATTCCAGCAGGAATCCTGCTGAGAGTTCCTGTGCTTGTTGGGATGCAGAGGAATGAAGATGCTCAGAGATGCTGAGAAAGAATGGGATGGGGGCAGCTCCCTGTGTGTTCTCACCTTGTTTGGGGTTTCCTGGTGGGATGTTGTGTTGTCCTTCACATGGACACTGGGATTTGTGTCTCTGGCAGTCCTGGTTTTGTTGCACCTTGCTTTTCCAGCTCTCTGGGCAGAAAGCAGAGGAGGAAGGGGACAGCACCAGCAGAAAGCCTTGGTGCTGGCCAGGGAGATGAAGAATAAAGGTGG